ATGATATGATATGATATGATATGATATGATATGATATGATATGATATGATATGATATGATATGATATGATGAGGATGTATGAGGATGTATGAGGTATCATGAGGTATGATGATGTTGTCATGTTGTCGTGGACCTTGGGGGGGGAAGGGGCCCAGAACGTCCAACCCAGGTCCAACCCGGAAACAAAGACATGTTGTTGTTTTCTTCGGAGATCGAAGGTCAATGAGTTGTTGTTTTCCGAAGATGTTAGGAGTGTAGGTTGAGGCACCCACCATATGCATAGGTCTCCACCTCCCCCCCCTCACACCGTTCATCGGCTCGGCGGAACCGGAACCGGACCTGGATCCCAGCCCATCAGGGCCTCCCTGACTCCCTGGTTTCCCAGCGGCCGGAAGTGGAAGGTCGGCCCCGAACGGGCGTGGAAGACCGATTTTCCTCTACAAGGGGGAGACGGCTCAGCGACCTCATGCTTGTTTGAGGGAGAGTGCTTGACTCCTGTACTCTCCTTGGTGGAAGAAAGACAGTGTTGTCCGTCGCGCCGAGGTGCGCAACATTCAATCGTCTGGGAAGCCTCATCCAGCAGCCCCAGCATGGTCTTGCGATCTCCACTGTGCGCGCCCGGCCGAAAGGTATTCGGCGTGCCCTGCAAACATGGAATCCTGCACACGGATCCAAAAGACCACATTGGACGCTGCTTCGGACAGCTGGATTGATTTGAGGTCCGGGATTCAACATCTGCATCTGGGCACAAAAACCCTTAGTTCTGATGGGTTCATGGATGAAAGACCTTCCACAACCTCTTGGGAAGTCTCGGGCGAATGAACTTGGCGACGGTGCTCAGGACGCTTCTCACGATGGGGACTTCGGACCAAACGGTGCTTCGGACCAAAAGGGACTCGACCGATGGGACTTTTGGTCATGTGTTTTTTCCAAAAATCACATGCCACCCCAGACAGACCCCTGACATTCACCCCTGGCCGGTTTTTTCGCAAATCTCGCAGTGCCAACGGCAGTGCACATGGGACATGGGTACTGTATCCAAACTACAAACTACTGAAACTACTTACAAAAAAAGAGGGTTGAGTATCCCCCACTGAAGGCTTCACAGAAATCATTGTGATTGGACTGCTTCTTGACCGAGGGATAACCCCTTACTAAACAAATCACTTGGGGGCGCTGGATGTACACTACTGGATACTACTGGCCATGTTCGCAAAATAAGACACAGGGACCTTCACAAAAACCTGTTCAGTTATAAACCGGAACCAAAAGTGACAAGTGTTGGATGTTTAGTGTAGGTTCACTCATGTTGGCATCGTTTGTGCTGCAAACGACATTCGGACATCCTATCCACCAACCGCGGCCTGAAAGTGGCGTAGTCCTCTGCACATGACGCGAATCCAACGCGGATGCACCTGGATTCCAAAATCGTTCGGTGAACCCTCCAAGATTTTGTAGCGCGTCCAAAAAGAACAACGGGTTAGTATGTCCACCTCACCTCACCTGAGCAAAATGACTTGCTTAGAATGGTTTGGGGCTGTTCATGTTGAACATCTTTGATCGATAATCACATCTGAAGGTCTTGACCTAGCCTAGAAGAGCAACTGCAGCAGTATGGCCAGGAGCCCAACAAATCCCAAGAAAGCAGTTGGATGGCAGCTACATTGGCATGTTGGTCTCAATTCTCCAGTTCAAAGAAGAGTTGGTCTCACCTTGGTAATGTCTCTAGAGCCCCAAATCCAGTGCGTGAGTTGCAGCAAACCAATTAGCAGCTGGGTCTGTAATAGGAAGACCTTCTTGCCCTGGGTAGACTGGTCTATTTCCCGAACCTTCCAGGGGGGTTCGGAACGCCGGACGGAGGTCTGCCTATTTGAATACACACGGTATGCTATGGTTTGAGGTGTGCACAGATAGCTCCAACTCGCTGAAAAGCGTCATACCTGCACACCCAGTCACAAGTACTTTGAAAGACGCACTGGAAAGCCTCAGTTCCATCTGGGTTCCATCTGGGTTTCATCTTTGACCTGTAATTCAAACCGGTGGCCACACCCAAAGACCCTCAAAGGCCCAATCTTTTAAGAGCTTCTCTCTTCAAAAACCCAGCCGCTACCTGAAAAGCGTCGGGCCAAATGCAAATCCAGAGCACCAACTGCATCCCACCAGCACTCCCACGACCCACTGCGGCTTCTTCCGCAGCATGGCGAGCCGGACATCTCAGGATGAGACATGTGTCCTTCAACCGGGGCTTTGAATCTTCATCGAGCCTTGGTCTTCAATCCCAAAATGTGCTCACTCCTGGAACTCCTTAGCAATCAAACATCTCCAAGTCTAGTGTATGTCGTCTGATTGCACATCTTGAACAACTAAGTGCTAAAACTTAAATACGTTTAAACACTCTCTATTCTCACTTTCCCCTTATCCTGTGATGTTTGTCTGAATTGGCACGCTTTCATGGATCACCTGTTGACCCGTCAGATCCCGAAGCCCACTGTCACACACCTGAGCCGGAGCCTCACCACCTGGAATCAAGGTGTGTATTGACGATGGAAAGAAGGGAATGGCCTGCAGTGGCCGGAGCCTCATGATCCTTTCAGGAATCTCGGGGGTGAAGAACTTTCCAGCAATTCGTCGGGGTGCCCAACTGGCCGGGGTGCTAAGCACTTCACATCCACTCACTGGATGGGACGTGGCTCAGCCCACTCCGAACTGCTCCGTCTTCGCTACGAAGACCGACCGAAACACCGGTCGTTCCGCGCCCATCCTTCCGCGGCCGTGCGAGGCTGCCGGTGACCCGACGAGGAGCGGCCCGACGACTGGCTTTGACCGCCAGAACGGGAGGGTACCGGAATTCGCGTCGCTGTATGGTGGAAAGGATGTCTGACAAAAGTTCTTGGAACTCTCTCCTTTGGAGTTGAAGATTAACCGTTGAACGGCCCGGTACTTTCCAATCAAATTCCACCGGCCGACGGTCGACTGGCACATGATATCTATGGCGAGGAGCGTGGATTCGGTGGATTCGGTGGATTCGTGCTGTCTTGCTAGTTTCTTCTGGTCAAAAAAAACACTAGAAAACACTATTGGCGAACCAAGCATTGCCTGGTAGATCAGATCTGGTTATTACACTCGGCTGGCGTTAAATCTGCTCTGCTTGTCTATGTCCAAACCGCCCAGAAACTCGATGTCTGGCTCCTTCGATCCCCCGCCTCGAGCCCCACTTGCATGGCGCGTTCGAGCTCACAAGCGTCCAAATAGACCCGGCTGGCCTCGGTGCCGTGTCGTGGATCGTGGATCGTGCACGACACGTGTGGGGAACACCGAGATCCGGGTCAGAGAGCCATGTAGCCATAGCCTATGTAGCTGTAAAGTTTGCCAAGCTACAAGAAATTGCAAAACCTCAAAACCTCAGGTCAAAACGGCCGAACGGGCACCTCCACTCATCTTGCAGAAACCGGGTTTAGATGGGTTTAGGGTTTAGGGTCTCTCTCTGTCTTTGGTATGATTTGGCCACAAAATCCTTTCAAAGATCGACCCAGTCATTGAGGGTCGACATCTTTTGCTGTTCAGATAGACCGTCGTCAGTCACATGGCCATAATGCAGAACACATCAGAACACCTGGTGTCTTGTGTTTACGCAAAGGCCATGAGTGTGAGTGAGTCTGATGGGTTTTACGCATGTTTACGCAAGATGCAGCATGGCTTCCGCAGCGAGATGAGAAGTCATCTCAATGTTGACTGAAACCACAAGGCGAAACATGTTTCACTTCTGCAGCAGAATAGGCACCTAATCGTCACCATTGATCTATAGAGTTTATAGATTCAAAAAACTTCTAGATCATGCTCCCACAGCTGCAAGGTAGATCTGTCCATGGACACTTAGCTGCCACACATTGCTTGAGGCATCTTGAGACCAAATCAATGGAGGTGGCTCTACAAAAAGGAGCAAACAAAATTACGAAACTATATACAAATGATGTCCAAACAAAACATGAATACAACATACTGTAGAAGCTTGACTGACGATTCATCATACGTCAGACTCTGAGACAGCCGCACGTGGCCGCAACACCTCTCTGGCACAGACTGCGCCAGTGAAAACGGTCGCGTGCCATGCAATGATTGGCTCTCCATGGCTCTGAGGTACCCCGGCCACACGCAAAGCCTCCGCACAGGCTCTTCGCAAGCCTGGATAGAGTTGGTGGGCTGGTTTGTTGATTGGAAAACCTGGCACGGTTGACTCTGTAATGTATTGTAACGTCTCCTACTTATGGATCTCAACATCTTTCTGCCTTGATGGGTCACTACCATGCCAGTGCTCTCAAGTCCTATGATGATCTTCTGCAGTTCCGCTCGGCTGATAGACATCTAGAGCATATCGCCCTGCTTCTAAACCCCAACCATCAACCGAGACTTGTCCCACAAGCACGCGAATAGACGCCACCTCGAGGAACAACAAGTTCCTGAACATCAGGGAACATGCAGCAAATGTGAGACAAAACAAAGTCTGATTAGAGCTGATTGTTGTGAGATCAGGAAGAAACATCCCTGTCTCAAATTCATGGACCTTTGTCAACCCCAGACATCTTGTCGGATCTTATTAAATCTCTCTCGTGGCGTTTGGTTGCCAATTATGAGTTCTTGAAACCCCCCCGCCGACACACGGCGCCTCGCTCGGCGAGATCTTGAGGAGCTTTGGAGGCTAAGGAAACCGCCTGGAGTCGAGCGAGCGATGGAGAGCGACCGGAGAGGATCGGAGTCCGGAGAGTTGGTGGGAAAAGCACCCACGTGAGCACCATTGAAAAGTCTCCATTTCAAATTACCTGTTAGCATGTCAGAGACCTGTTTTTCATCAGGTCGACCTGGTTTTCATGTGGTACGTGGTTCATGTTAGGCCGGAGGAGAGTCCCATGGAGACTCGACTCGATGGCTCGGAAAGAGCAGAGTCACAAACAGCCCAGGCGTTAACTTCAAAGGCTTTCACATCCTTCCGCTGGTGCAGGCCCGAAATCAGGAGTTTTCAGACACCGAATTTTTTAGGGATCCACATACCTTCTCAGAAGGTACCCTCCAAACCTATACAATATATAAATACAAGAGTGTCCAATTACCTTCTCAGAGGGTATGTGGATCCGAGACTTCTGCGACCACCTGACCGGGAGAAAAAGGACTCACGGCGAAAGAACGTCATCGCCACCCACACGACGAGTCTCAAGGGAAGACCCACATACCCTCTGAGAAAGTCATTGGAGACACTTTAATGTAGGAGGTCTTTTCTAGGGTCCAGTCGTACCTTCTGAGATGGTACGTGGATCCCTAGGCCTTCTGAAAATGACGGTTCCTCTACTACCTCGCCACCTTTAAGCCACCAAACGAGGCCTGTAGGGAGTGCTGGACGTGCTAACAACTTCTCTGAGTGTTTGCCCGAATGGTCCAGCGAACTGGAAGTTCCTTGTCCAACTCCGAAAACTCAGCACTGCTCTGAGCTGCAGGTCTTTTCCCAGATTCCCCAGGTAGAGGTCTTTAAATGATGTCCAATACCCCTGACCCTGGGGGTCATATATCGTTACAAAGTGTGACCCATGGAAATAGAAGACTGAGACAAAACAATGAAAGACTGGCCAGCAATCTTCGCGAAGCTCTGAGCCAAGCATCCCGCAAGGCACGTGGGAACACAAAAAAACGAAATTCTGTTTCACCTCATTCTTTCTGGTGATCATCTGGTGATGTTCATCCATTACTTGGATCTTTCTTTACGTGTTGATATGAAATCACTATCGCATTGTCATCTTGGATCCCACAAATCGTGGTGAACTCGGGATCCCACACTGACCGAAGACGACGGTCCGCTCCCCCTCAACCTCTCCAAATGCTCGGCGCCTCCGGTAGCTGCCCCAACTCCAAATGGGCCAAGGCCTCACTCGTTTGGGTGTCGCCCAACGTGTCGCGGTGAGAGCCATGGAGACGTCACGACCACCGCGTACGTTCCACACGACAACCGCCTCTTCGATGTGTTTTTTCAACAGTTATTGATGGGCATTTCCCAAAATCAGTTCCTGGACTCGGGTCACGTAAAAATCCATCTAAAAATCATCAAAAAAATCTTCAAAAATACATGCCCAGGTGCTCCAAACAGCCCTTAGTCCCTCAAAACCTAGGGATTTGAGACCCCAGACCCCTCCAGAGCATTCGTTGGGCTTGAGCGTTGCAACTCTGAATTTTCATAGAAACCTGATAAGTTGATATAATGTATAAATATATTATATATATATAATACAAATAAGTTGCTTTTTGTTCCATCGACCCTATAAATTTGAAGGGTTTGGGGTGCCTCGAATACAGATCCAAAGCGCGACCCCCACCACAGCTGGCTCGTGCCACACCCGCAGGACCCGTTTGTGGGTCCGCCCGCCAACACGCCAAGCAACCGCTGCGCCCTGCGCGCCAGCAGCACTTGCCACATCGCCCAGCTCCTGAGAGCTAAGAACTCCGTGGGATCAGATCCAGTTTTCAAGTTGAAAGATATGTTGAAAGTAAACATATCTGAAACAACCACCCTATATACGTAGAGATACTGGCAATTGGTGGTCTGAAGATCCTGAGGGTCCTTCTTGGGAACACAAGATTGAAGCATGTTGAAAGAATGTATTGGGAAAGGGGTTTGCTGCTTCATTCCTTTCCTCGATGTGACCAACTCTTGATGATTCAACAGGCTCGATTTGATCTGCCCAGAGGCGACCAAAGGCAACCCTGGACCCTCAAATGAACGGTCTGGGGTTTCTCACCAATCCTGCTCGGTCTTGAGGGACCGGTGAAGCTGTGAACGGAGCATGTGAGTCTGTGAGTGAGAAAAGACCAACCTTGCGAGGGATTGCGGAGGCTGACAGCGAAAAAGTAGCATCCTCACATTCAAAACGAAGAGAGGAGAGGAAGAGGGCTTCTGTGAGGACTGATTGAAGGAAGGAACCTCTTGAAGGAACCATAGGGGCTGACCGAAACGAACTGGTCCAATCCTTACGTCCCACACCCGACAATTTCTGGGAAGCCTGGTCCTAGCCTGGCTCACACGTCGGATTTCATCCCAAACCGAACTGGTTTCAACAGGTTCCTGGGTGCCTGTATCAGCCCCAGTCGCACCAACCTTGGTTCGTTGAACATATCTGAGGAACACCGACCAGACGATGCAAAGATCTCCCCAAACTCGC